AGACAGTCTGTTTACATCTTTTAGCATAACGTGAGGCATTCGCCATTGTAATTTGAACAAATCAATCTTTGGGTCAGAGTTTGCATGTGCCACCACGCAATTGTAGTGGTTGCGTGAACGTATCAAGATCAATTCGTGACGAGCATTAATTACCATCCGTTTGTAGTCCTCACAAAAGCCTAGCAATGTAAGGAGCGGGACACAATAATTAAAGTATCCCGCAAACATGTTCCTCGAGAGACCCCAACCGGCGTTCCCCAACAATAAATTTTTGTCACGAGTCAGTGATACATAATGTTTGAGCGTGCTCGTTACTCCAACGTTTCTGCAGCGGTCAACCTCCACACCATTGAATTCGTACCAGATTTCATCGGACAAGAAGACCGCGTAATTATTTGTCAACATATCAACATATCGTGGCAATCAACATTACAGATGTGAATATTATTCGCGTAGAATGTAATGTGACTACCGGTGCGTACAGCAACGACAGATGTATACACACCATATACGAGTTTTCGCTTAATGTACCACCAGGATATAAAATATCGGAAACGCCGGCACAGATCATTTATCTTCCGATCTTTGCACGGAACATATCGGATTTGACGATACATGTTGTGGATCAACACTGTCGATTGCTTGATTGCGTGATATCAACTGCCTAGTTATCATCTTCTATCCTCGTTTGCATAAACTTGCCCTCGATGTAGAAAAAACTCTCATGGTAACGTGTACAAATTTTGCTGTTGTATCGGTATTCGTATCTCGTCACTGTGTCAAAAAGATGTATTGGCGTATGGATTGTACGTGTGAGTCTTGATCTTGACGATACGATCGTCAAAGATCGGCTCACCCCCAATGTTCAAAATGTCGACCATCGACACGTATTTTTTCGCACGATGAATCCCAAAGACCTTAAAAATGCAATGTTGGCTGCGCTAAGTTTCTTATTTTTCTTGATGCGGTCGTTTATAATCATCCTTTTGATAGGAAAAATGTCGCTCACGTATTTAGTCTGACTCGCTTCGTTCAATACGAGCATCTCAGGTGTCCTATCGCCGCCGCAGTACATGCAACCTGACAATTATCTCTTCTCCGCGGAAATCAAGCAATCGACAGTGTTGATCCACAACATGTATCGTCAAATCCGATATGTTCCGTGCAAAGATCGGAAGATAAATGATCTGTGCCGGCGTTTCCGATATTTTATATCCTGGTGGTACATTAAGCGAAAACTCGTATATGGTGTGTATACATCTGTCGTTGCTGTACGCACCGGTAGTCACATTACATTCTACGCGAATAATATTCACATCTGTAATGTTGATTGCCACGTTTGATTCGTGCCATTGTCGCGGCTGCAAAATGCGATCTGAAGAAAATCCCTGTAACAATCCAATAATATTTAGTTTGTTAAAATTTATTCGATGAACACACTTGATCTCACACTTCATTGTATTCTCATTTGCGCGAATAACTATGAGATCATCATCATTATCATCATTGGTAGTAATCGGTTTGATGGTTTCCGACATCACATGTTTTAGGTACCGGTATATGATATACAATTCGTACGATCCCTCAGGAATTATAATATCCTTGTCGTTTTCATCAAAGTAAGATTTATTATTCGACGCATTTTTGGTATCGTATTATAGGTTTCAAAGGCAGTCAAACCGAGTTCGTAATCGCCATCGCTCAGATCTATGGCTGGAAAGTAGCTTCCCGCGAGAGTGCTATTTTTGCTGGTGAGTGTAAATGTCAGCGACATCTTCGTCAGAGGTCAAAACGATTACTAGACACCAATCGCAGAACGTTGGACCTTAAATCGGTTGTTAACTGTCTGCAGGAAACGTAGACACAGTTGTCCGCAAATGCTCTGATACTCTAACGTTGATAAAACGTACAATCGTATTATTCTTGAGATATCGCACCAATTCGCTGGGTGGTCGAAGATTATCAAAACTATCGAAATATATCACGCGATCACCTCTTTTCGCGTACGTTACCTAATGAGTACCGGACCTCTCGACGTCATCCATATTTACGATGCCGCTCTCGTTTATGCGCGGTGATGTAAGCAACACGTTGCGCATGAAAACGCCTCTGAAGAACGGAATACGCATATGTTTCGCCAATTGTTCCAATTGTACATTGATGGTGACGTCCGTAGGCATTTTTAGCTTTTTTTCGACGTTTTTTCCTCTCTTGACACTTTTTCCTCGTTTGTATGGTGCGAGATAAATTCCACG